AGAGAGAGAGAGAGAAGAGAGAGAGAGAGAGAGAGAGATAAGAGAGCAGAGAGGAGAGAGACGGGAGAGGAGAGGGATTGAGGAGATGGAGAGGCAGAGGGAGAGGAGAGAGAGAGAGACGCAGAAGCAGATGAAGATAGATAGATAGATAGAGACGAGAGAGAGAGAGAGAGAGACCGTTGAAAGAGAGAGACGAGGTAGAAACTGTAATAAAGAAAGAGACAGAGATAGTGAGCGAGAATTCGTGTATGTTATTTAATAGCGTACATGTGTGTGCATTTGATCATCCGTGTGGATACGTGTTTGTTACTGTAAATAAATGTTTTATGTGAGTTTGCGCGTGAGCTTGTTTTTTTTATTTCTTATGTCCAGAGATATAACAAAATCTTGCAGCTCTTCCCCCTGCAAGTTTTACGTTCCCATCAATACTGAAGCACGAATGCTATCTCCTCTTCACTCGGCAGGGCAGGAGGGCGATATTCGGAAGAGAGAGAGAGAGAGAGAGAGGATTAGAGAGGAGAGAGAGAGAGAGGAGAGGAGAGAGAGAGAGAAGAGAAGCAGAGAGGAGGAGAGAAGAGAGAGAGGGAGGGAGGGAGGGAGGGACGGGAGGGAGGGAGGGAGGGAGGAGAGAGAGAGAGCAGAGAGAGAGAGATGAGAGAGAGAGAGAGAGAAGAGAGAGAGAGAGAGGAAGAGAGAGAGAGGATAGAGAGAGAGAGAGAGAGAGAAAGAGAGAGAGAGAGAGAGAAGAGAGAAGAGAAGAAAGGAGGGAGAAGAGAGAGAAAGAAAAAAGAAATAAAGAAAGACTAATAAAAACAAACAGACAATCACAATAAAATAAAAAAAATAAATAAATAAACCTACTTCTCATATACATTCGACAGATATGAAAAATAAATACATATATATTCACAAAAGAAAGACATAAACAAACAGACAATGAATCACACACACAAAAAACAACAACAACAACAACATACTTCTCATATACATTAGATATAAAAAAATATATATTCACAACTTCTTTTTTTTTCCAGACCTTGCCGTTCTAACGCCAAACTTCCTTCTCACACGACTTCACTTTGCTGCTCCTGGTGAGTGTCCCTTTTTCTTTCGTTCGTTTTATCTTTCTTTCTTGCTTTCTGTTCTCTTTTTGTCTCTTCTTTCATTCTCTCCTTCGTTCGTTTTTTCATTTTTTTTCTTTTCTTTCCTTCTTTTTTTTTTTTTTTTTTTTATCTATTTCATTTTCTCCTTCGTTCTTTTTTCATTCCTTCTTCTTTTCTGTTCTTTTTTATCGTATTTCATTCTCTCCTTCGTTCGTTTTTTTCATTCTTTTTTTGTTCTTTTTTTTATCTGTTCTCTTTATATTCTTCTTCTTGTCTCTTCTTCTTTCTTCATCTTCCATCCATTCTTTCTCATCTTTTTGTCCTTCTTTTTTATCTCTTCTTTCTTTCTCCCTTCGCTCTGTTTTATCTTTCATTCTTTCTTTATTTCCTTCGTTTTATATATTTCATTTTTTCTTTCTTTCCGTCCGTCTTTTTTTTTTTTTTTTTTTTTTTTTTTTTTTTTACATTATTTTTACGTACGAGTAGGAGAGAAAGTGGGGAGTAAGAAAGAATATGAGAAATTGGGAGATAGTGAAAGTGAGGTAGGATGGAGAAGATAAGTAGATAGAAGATAGACAGGAAGACTTGATAGACAGGACAGAGGAATAGAGATAGATGGATAGATAGATAGACAGGAGACTAGACAGAGAATAGATAGATAGATGGATAGATAGATAGGGAGATTAACAGATACACAGACAGATAGATAAAAGGATAGATAGATAGATAAATAGACACCATAGGTAATAGATAGATAGATGGATAGATAGATAGACAGGAAGATTAACAGACATACAAACACAGATAGATAAAGGGATAGATAGATAGATAGATAAATAAACAACGTAGCTAAAAGAGAAAGAAAAAAAATGAATAAAGTAAGGAAAGCTAAAGCAATAAAACTGATTGATAGCGAACAAGGAAAGGGGAAAAAGAAGAAAGAGAAGTAAATGGAGAGAGAAATTGAGTGAACAAGGGAGAAAGGAAAATAAAGAGAGAAAACTAGAGAGTGAACCAAAAAAAATGGAAAACAAAACGAAAAGGATGGAAATTATATTTTTAAAAAGGAAAAAAATAGAATTCAAGCAAATGAGAGCATGAAAAAAATGAAAAACAGAAAAAAAAATAAAAAAGAAAGAAAAAAAAATACCCCCCTAAAAAAAAAAATCAGAAAAAACGAAATACAAAAAAAAAAACAAAAAAAAAAAAAAAAAAAAAAAAAAACAAGATCGAAAAAAAATGAAAAAACTAACTAACATAAAAAACAAGAGAAAAAAAAGAAAATGCTTGCGAACTCAAACCACCCTTCACACACCCTCTTCCGGCTCCATTTCACTTCCCTCGTGCTTTTAAAGACTCAATTTACACCACAGCGCTAAGCCGATGTCCCCGCCACG